AGCGTCTTCACCAAACAGGACTATGTCATCTGCGTATTCTAAGTCGATAAGTGGACCTCCTGGTAGGAGATCAATACACGGGAACTCAGTCGACGAGAAAGTTATTTCCATCAGTAAATCTATGATGAAGTTAAACAAAAATGGGGAAAGTGGACAGCCTTGACGGACACCACTTGAGGTTGCAAAAGTAGATGACAGTTCGCCATAAGCTCTGACTCGACTAGTAGTGTTCGAGTAAAGAGCCTTCACAAGGTTTATGTACTTCTGGGGTACGCCTCATGTGTTAATATGATAATGGAAACTAGGTCTGGTGGACATTTGTACCAGGTTTTATGTTGATTACAATTGACTATGATTGGAATATCGATATTTAACTTGCAAACTATTCCTATTGGTAGAATATATACAATAATTTGGAATTGATAAAGATTTCCATCTTAATTGGGTGTTTCCGATGACTGAGGATTTGATTTCCAAAACGTTAATGAAAGTTCAGACAACAAAATACCATTAAAATATATGCAACAATCATTGACTCAAGAGGACTTAGTTGAATAAAAAAAATTATCAAACCTCATTTTAAGTAAATATATAGATCATGTGTAGATTGCCTCGATATATCCAATATAACACAAACCGATATAGAATAGATGAAGTGTGGCTAGCGTTGGAATCCAGGACACGCATTTGCTGATGACTCCCAAGCAAGAAAAAAAAGTGCACCCTGATTCCCACTACTAGCCACATTCCATCGATCATCTAACAATTAAGTATTTCAATAATCTCGTATATTCTTCTTATCACATAATAGAATTTATAATTTGTAATTAACTTATTCACCAAGTACTTGGGTATGAACCACACTCTAAGTATTTGAAGGCTAATAACACTAACCGATCACCTAGACTGAAGTAGATAGAGCAACAGGTTCTAACCAAAGATTTTGTAACTGAAAGTTAGACCCTCTAACCATTACTAAGCGATTGATTATGAACTATCTTATATTACGTTATTTCAATCTACCAATTATTTGTAGAAATATAAGTGAATAACCCTAAAAATTACTATTGAAGTTCACCAATGAAAAGGATTAAACATTAATAAAGAACATTGAAGGAACTTTACTAGAAAAGAGAACAATTTCATAGACGTCTGTGAATAAGATCATAAAAAAAGAAATAGACGAGAAAAAAGGGAGAGAAAAATCCATTTCTTTTTTGTTGCGTTTACTGTCACACCTTTAATTTTTTTTGGTAAACAAAGAAAACTGTTTCAATTATATAAACATCTATTTGGATAGGACAAAGTGTGAACTTTTTTTCATATGAAGAGTGAATTTCATATTTAAATAAATATCACTTCAGTTGCTTAGATGTACAAATAGTAGATAGTTGGGTTTGTCAGTAAGAAATTCTAGAACAGAGGTTTCGCACTACTTCGTACTCATCAATCAAGTACACCTAGAATCTTGAAAGAACCAATGCACCTGTATTACACCTAGCATTCCAATCTCAGATGTGACCATTGAGATATGCAGCACACATATCGCAGAGATTGTGAATCTGATTGAAGTTTATAGAAAAAAAGAAGTTTTTCTTCACCGACAGATTTATTTAAGTAATACGGATAAATTAAGTGGATTAGGTGAATCGCTAAAAAAAATTGGTTCCATTCTTCACCTAGAAAGAGGTCGGAATAAGAAAAAGTGAAGGATGGTCAAGACTATGTGATAGAAGAATCCTATGAACCGTAGCAGTATGAAAATGGATGTATAGAGAATATGAGACTTAAAAAATCGATTACTGAGTCACAGAAGTAGAGAAGTATGTGCAAAAGGAAACAATCGGCTTCGTAAAGTGAAACGTATCTACCATATCGAAGAATTCGACCAATCAAATTTGATCACTGCTGAGAACTGCTAAACTACAGGTGATATTGGTTAGTAAAAATAGTAAAGTAGTACAAATCTTAAGCTTCTAATAAGAAGGATCTATGACACTGACTTTTGATAGCTAACGCAACCAACTTCCAATCCTGACAAGTAGTTGCAAATTCAAAACCCTTCCCATTTACTTCGATATTTGTAGTCGGATGGGAGAATATATGTATGGTTACTGATAAATGTTTGTAGTTTACACAGTTGTCAATTTTTTCAACTCACCCAACCTAATTTAATATATATAAGCAGTTGGGTACTTACTTAGTTCTCATTACAAAACAAATAATTTGAAGCCTGTTACATGAACATGTATTGTAGAATGGTAGTTCGCTCAGTGGTTTAGGCATTCAGCTTTCGTTCATCAGGCCTTAGCGGTTCCAACACTGCCCCTACCCTACCGGCTTTCATTTGACCAAATGTGTGTATCATAACCAAGTAAATAAGCCCGTAGAACGTCGTAATTTAATACCAGTCAATTACTGAATTACCAGAATCTACGAATATGGCGAAATTATCTTTAACAGTTAGTGTTCTCGTATACACACATAAGTTGAATGTTTAAATCCGATCACAATGAATTCGTATCATTTAGCTCGATGACCTGGCAATCGATTGATTTCGACCAATATTGGAAGAACGAGATACGAATTATACAATGGGTTTACGATCATGTGATTGATCTGTTGTGTGTATGTAAGGGAGTATGTACATATTTAGCAAAATGATCACTCTGTACACATGGTGTTATAAATTGTCGGTCAGAATTTATATAATATGCAGTGTTTAAATTGGAAACAAATGAATCAATACACTTGTCATTATTTTGTATCTTATTCATAGAATGAATAAAATAGAAATTTTACATTTTAACTGCGATTGACAATCCTCTACGAGAAAGACGGGAATAATAAGTGAGTCTCTTTACAAAGATGAATATCATCTCAGCGAATGCCATATCTTGGATTGATTGTCGAATTTGGGAGGAGGGATGAGAAAAACGGAGAGGTGGTCAGTTTATGACATGGTACTGTGGTATGAAAGAAAGCTATGTAGGACTGGCATTTGTCATTTCATCGTGACTCCCTGGCTGGGATCCGAGAGACAGTGGAACTTGATGGTTTAAGCCGTTATCAGACATGGGTCAGAACAGAAGCCAAAGGCGATCGTGTTGTAGCTTTCATTTACATTCTACATAAACATGAAAAGGAACTCACTCTACTGAACTACTTCAATTACATATTAATCTCGTTTACTTAATTTTATTCATCGATCTGTTTTTCTTTATTATACTTCTATCTCCTGCCCAGGACAGGGTTGGATGGAGAATGCTGGTGAGCGGTCTATGCTCCTTCAGGAGGAGTAACAGGCGTAAGTAAGTAAGTAAGTAACTTCTATCTCCACCTGTTCACAATCATATTTTCTTATTCGTGTGGTACGCATTTATTTTGGTGCCCAGTTGTACTTGATTACTTATGTATATTAAATAAATAAATAGAAGTAAAAAGACCGTTGTATATCTTGTAATCTAATTCGTTTTATCTTACGGTAATTGTTAATAACGAACGATCATGTTCATTTTAATAGGAATAGTATTCTTCAACAATAATCCCCAAACGATGGATTTTCAAAGAAAGGAAGATAGACAAATTTAGTTTTAAATGTCAAGAAGTGGCGACTACTGTGACTCAGAAATCTAAAAAATAACGCGCTGGTAGTGTTTGAAGTATTATATGTATTAGGTTTCAAGTCTAAGTAGGTATATGAACACTGTGAGATAGGTGATACAACATCTCATTATTTGACAGATTTTAAATAAAACCAGATGAATATCCTGTATTCTACTGTTCGCAATCCACTATATAATATACTATGTAAGGTAAAATGAACTTCATTAACTGAAAGGAATTTATCTTTGTTGTATTATTAAGTGAACTATTATTTTATTTGAATTATAAACCGACCTAAGTAAGACAATCATTAAAAACCTGGAAGCACTGGACAGTCGACTTGTCCTAATATGAGACTCCGCAATACTGCACACCCGCGATCACTCAACCGGTAATCGGGCACAAGACGTTCGATATCGTGTGCGAACGCTTAATCTTTAAACCACTGGGCTGGCATTCAATGGTGTACAAGTCTAACTTATATCAATCCATGATATTGTGCAACCATCTTTCATCAAACCTGACACTGTTGAACTCCACTAGTTACGACTTTTTTCCATTAGGACTCCAGAAGCTTTCGAAGCTAGCCATTAGTGAGTACATGATAATTATTAGTACAGGGCTCACCAAACAGTTGAGTTTTATTGAATGCCAGCTCAGTGATCTAGTGGTTAAGTGTTTGTGCACGAAACCGCACATCTTGGGTTCGACTGACAGTTTTTGGATCGTGGATGTTCACTTCTGAGGAGTCCCACAATAGGAAATAAACAGCTATCAAGTGTCTCCAGGTCCATAATATTTGTGACCTCAATAAAACTCAACAATTCCAACAACTGAAGACTATTATTGCTTGAAACGAATACTATTTTCACTCATTGAAGCAAACATCCCATTTCTTAGTTTTTTTTAACTGTGTACTATTACTTCATTGTGTGGGGCATTTTTTTGTGGTCTTTGTGTTAGAATCTTTAATATAGTATGACTAAATAGTGTGGGTTAAAAACCGGTTCAATGGCGAGACTATAATTTGTGGACAAACTAATCAAATTAATGATACCAGGTCTTGGATTTTGGCGAGCTGTTCACTCGTCCATATGGTTAAATAGCATTTTGTCACTGTAGCTTATGTCAGTTCATGATGAAAATCCTAACCCTGACGTCCTAATGTAAATCCTAATCTTAATTCCACACGCTGATTTATAGTCCTCCTTTAACTCTAGTAAGTAGGTAGGCATCCCCAAGGTCACTTAAGCATCGTTCAAAGGTTATCCATAAATTTTAGCCTCACTATAAGTGTCTCTCAAGGATGAATCCCAGGAACTTGCATTGGATAAAAAAATTACATCTTTAAGAAAATTCCATGAACGTTTTTGTCATAATTATAAATGACTTACGGTATCCAAGCTGACTGGAAGATGAGATAGAGTATCTTCAAAGCTAACTTGCCTACGTCGTAAATACATTGTCTGCGCAGCACGTACATCATCGATGCCGTTTTGAACATTATTATTTGAACGAGCTGCCACCCCCGCCACCGACGACGTAATACCACTACTACCTTTTGCACGTAATCTCTCGGATATCGTTAAACTACGTCGTGTATGACGAGGATTAGAACGTGCGGATCTACCATCACCACTGCCATTGACGCCAACGCCAGTAGGTAATTGAGACCTAGAATTAGTGATTCTTTCATTTAATACAGATTGTTCATCAGGTGATTGATTTTCTTGATTTTCATCAGTTGGACAAATCGGTGGATCAAATTCAACGTGAAAATTACTTTCTGTCTCATCACCTTCATCATTAACTATCCCCAGTTCTCCTTCTACGGAATTATTGGCAAAAATGAGAGGGAAATGATAAACACGATGATCAATTTGCGGAAAAAAAGACAATACCACGCTATATACGATGATAATCATTTTGATAATACCCATTGGATTCATATGAAACATACCCTTTCATGGTGTCAGTCAGATGCAAGGTAGAACTTGGTAAGTATGTACATCGGTTCAAATCCCTATACACTATTAGTACACAGAGATTTAATTGTTAAGCCAAATCACAAAGTAGTAGAGATAGTAATGGTATCGACTTGGCCCCCAAACGCCCTGGTATGGCCGAGAGCGGGGTGGGTTCGCCCTTCCTCTCGAAATACTCTCACACGGCCGCGCGTATACAGCCTCTGCCAGGGAAGTCCTATTCACTGCCTTCTCGTGGCGGGGGTGTTGTTTACGAAAATGAGAGGACGAAAAGCGAATGTCCGGCGCTTTAACCGGATTCCAAACCAATGGTGCACATGGGCACCAGTATCCTGCGGGAACAAATGGCGTATGAACCAATTTTCGGTCACCGGCTACCATGGGACTGCATCTCCTTACGATGCTCCACTGCCTTGTGGGTTAGACCTTTAGGTCAAAGGCTCGGGGTGTGGCCCCCTAAGATAACCACCTGCTTCGGTCTGGGCACCCGGGCAGTAACGCAGCCCACACGCAATTAATGAACTGAAATTGTGTGGCGCATATATGTTTGGTGCACTCCTGTACCAATATATATGTGTTCAAATAAAATAAATAAAATGGTATCAGTGGCAACAGAAAGGATTGGACATTGAAGATACAATTCGAGAAAATATAAGTTATTGAAATAAATAGAAAAAGATTTATAAGAAATTTATAAACTTACGATTTAAAAGAAAACAAAGAAGGAATAGACCTGTACCATTGCGAACGATTCTGAGAAATCTCGACCAAAGTCTCTAACTACTGATTACTACAACCAAACGGACTCCAAACAAGTGGTCTGCACCTACTCACATAATTCAATCTAATGGACAATGTCTTGGATTAGTTGCTCCTAGATTTCTTTCAATCTAATTCTACACTAGCCATCATCGCTCATCAAGGTAGTCAATTCATGATCATACGTAAAACGTGTCCTAACAATCTCAGTTGATAAGAATCCACTAACTCATCACTCGACATTTTAAGAATGAGCCTTACTACTATTATTATTATTTCAGTTCAATAATATTATATCTTTCTTTGAATAGAATGTACATATATCTTGATGCTTTTGTTTATCGAGTATTCCCTTTTGTATTAATGTTACAGGAATATAAAATGAAAATGTCCTTAATTTTAAACATGATGGGAAAAATTTTGATCATATTTCTTATTCAGGGAAATAAACAGAACATTTTTTGATCATTTCCCTGGAAAAAAAAAAGCTTGAACTAGTTCCCCAAGTAAAACACTGGAGTTATTTAAATTCTCATCGTGGGAATCTGTAACAAAATTTGGAGATTCTATACTTGATTGCTTGTTTGGTACTTGACAAAGCAGTGTACATTGCTCACTTCATTCTCTCGTTTAAAACTGAATAAATGATACACGTTGTTAACAAGTGTTAAACTATATGTAGAAAGAAAGTTAAATCTAAGGTTGTTTGTCGGTCATCTATTCAACCTGGAAGCCCCTGAATGCCCTGATACGGCCGAGAGTGGGGATAGTCTGCTCCCCTTCTTGAACTTCTCTCACATGGCCACACGTATATAACCTCTGCCAGGGAAGTCCTACTCACTGCCTTATCGCACCACGGGTGTTGTTTACGAAATTAACAGGACGAAAAGCGAATGGCATGTTCTTTAAACGAGTTGGTGGACATGAAGATTCCACCTAGGGAAATTGGAAAACCCTCATTCCAAACCCATGGTGCACATGGGCACCAGTATCCTGCGGGAACAAATGGCGTATGAACCAATCGTTGGTCACCGGCTACCATGGGACTGCATCTCCTTACGTTGTTCCACTGCCTTGTGGATCAGACCTTCAGGTCGAAGGCTCGGGGAGTGGCCCCCTAAGAAAACCACCTGCTTCGGTCTGGGCACCCGGGCAGTATCACAGCCCTCACACATATTGAATGAGATTTGTGTGGCGCATATGTATTTGGTGCCTCCTTGTACCAATATCTATGTGTTAAAATAAATAAATCCAACCTGGAAATTCGTTTGTCGTTTCTATATCGAATACGAAAATCTACTTTGCAAAACAATGCCAAGTAGAGTATGTTGTACCTGACATGAAAACATTGGTACACAAGCTAGCAGAAACAAACTTTATGGATTTTTAGGCAGAGTTGGATAGTGGCTGCCGATAAAATCCAGGACACGCATTTCGTCTTATTCCGGAACCATCGGTTTCATGTACCTGCGATTGAGTGCTAATGTTCGGTCCGGAACTCGATTCTAGCGCCTTTCGTTTTAAATGCCCAACACGTTAATTGGATTTAATGGTCAAGTGAATAAAGCGTTGGTGTTTAAAGAAAAAGGTACTGGAACCGAGTCTCAGGGTGAAAATCAACACTGAAATTTGTCTTGAAATAATTTTACCTTGCTATGCTAATTTGGTCTGATAACTTGAACCGATGGACATATGTCAGCTGCCACGTTGCACATGACTGACTAACTGATTTTAAACATAAATTTATGCATGATCGCTTCAAAATTCATGCGTTCTTTTTCCCCTCAACATATTTAACGATTAAAAAAAGGTCAAAATAATAGCGACAATAATGATCGATACGATTATTGTTATTATTATTACTATTATACCTACCCTCACTTGATGGTTCGATCGCATCGTTGAATGTAACAGGACTAGCAGCAGTAGAGTGTTGAGGTGATGTCTGCGATCGAGATCCCTTTTATACATAGTAAGCAAAAAAATCCGAAGGGAACAAAAAACAGAATAAAATCACACGTGTACACATGTTTATGAATGTTTGATAAATACAAATCAGTCTCACAAATAGTTATCATCTAAAGGCGATAAGTTATTCTCGAAAACGGGTAACTAGTAGTTAGTTTAACACATATATACACAAACAAACCCTGATGTTAATATAACCACCAGACATCAACAAGCTATTCACCAGTTTCTGATATGATATTTGTAAAACACTCAAAAAATTAGTACGTTCAAGAAATTATAGGTGTCAAATTAGAAATAATGAATTTTTATATTTAAAAAGGGGCACTAAAACGCTTTTAGTAAAGCTGAGAGTATAGTCTGACATATACACATTGTGATTAATCACATTTGATATTTTACTCAGCTAAAAGTATTTAACTAGATAGCATGAACTTAAACCACGAGTCAACAAACAACCGTCTTTATACCATTTTTGTAGGTAGTGGTTGTGATAATCAAACGGATTCCAAACAAGTGGTCTGGACCTACTTATATAACTCAGCCTAACGGTCAATCTCTTTATAGACTGATACTACGCCTTGGTTTAGCCGTTCCTAGCTTTCTTTCAATCTAGTCCTACTCCGGCCGTCATCACTACCTCGTCAAACGATTCGTCATATCCAACAAAGTAATCTGGGTCTAAGAATCTCTTACTCGACTGTCCTAAAATATACAAGCAACGGTCCAAAGACACGTATGATTGAATACTAGTAACCTAAGAATATCCTGTTTGTAAAGGTCATGTTTCACAGACGCAAAGTAGGACAAAGAGATATGTTACACAGTGACCTCGTCTTCTAATTGGCAGACGGATGTCCTGCCATGAAGCAAATTAGCAAATACCAACAGGACCTTCAGGATTCATGCCGATATTTCATCAGAAACCAACTCACCAAGGCTCATGAAACTTCTAAGATAAGTAAAATGTTATACATGCTTAACTACATCACTTATCAATAGTTGGGAGAGACCAGTTCTAAAGTAACATTTTGTATATAAGGGAAGAAAATCAGTAAAGTATTAAATATTGAAATTATGGTAATGAATAATTTTGATTGTACACGAATACAAACATATAATATGAAAATGATTACCTCAGATAAAGGATGATACCAAGTAGTTCTATGATTTTGATGATCAACATAATAAACACGACCATTTGCATCAGTTCGTTGCTCCCATCCATGTGGTAATTGACTATATTACATAATATATATATATAAAACCAATTGTGAAAACAAAGTAATTATTTAGAAAAAACATAATTAATGAAACTTAAATATCAATTAATCAGTTAGTCATTAAACTACAATATTCATAGTTTATACACTTGACTTCCAGTGTTACATCATTTTGCCCCCAAACGTCCTCGGTACGGTCGACAGTGGGGAGAGTCAGCTCTCCCTCTCCAAATGCCCTCAAGTGGCCACGACCACTGCCACGAAAGTCCTATACACTAATTTCTCGCGTCAGAGGTGTTGTTTACGAAATTGAGAGGACGGAAAGCGAATGTCCGGTGCTTTAGCCTGGTTGGTAGATACGGAGGATCCGGCTAGGGTAGTTGGAAAACCATCATTCCAAACCAATGGTGTACATGGGCTCCAGGATCCTAAGGAAGCAAATGGCATATGAACCTATTGTTGGTTACTGGCTACCATGGGACTGCATTTCCTTAGGTCGCTCCACTGCCTTGTGGATTAGACCTTTACATCAAAGGCTCCGGGTGTGACCCCCTAAAAAATGACCTGTTTCGGTCTGGGCACCCGGGCAATATCATAACCTACACATAAATCAATTGACTTGTTCAACTACTTCTTTAATCTTGACCAACTTCTGGCCTAATTAATTAATAATCACTCTTGTGATTTGTTGACATAATTCGATTCATATTGATTTTCATAGCTTAAACTTATCTTACTCAACCATATCATTATTATTACTATAACACATGAGAAATTTATTCAGCATCTACCTCTATTTACTTATTCATACATAATTCACGTTTATTCTACATATTACGTGATTTCTGATTTGTAATTGTATTATTATCTCTCTCACCTCATGTTAACCATATTTATCTCACAAATTCACTTGACATATAAACTTATTCCAAGTCAACACTTGATATTAATGATCCCCAAATTAACGATTTGATGATTACTTAAACGATGTATTTTACCTTAAACCTGACAAATTCTCTGGATATATAATTGTAAAATCTGGAGAGAATTTATTAAAAATATTATTCGTTTATATGTTTTCACAAAGCAAGTTCTCATCACTTGAAATCCTCAAGGTCAAAGGAGAAGAGGAAGACCAAAGAACACATTAGAGACAGACATGAGAACAATGAACAACAATTGGACAAAACTAGAAAGGAAGGCCCAGGACAGAGTGCGATGGAGAATGCTGGTCGGCAGCCTCTGATTCATTGGGGGTAACAGACACAAGTAAGCAAAAATATATCTGTGTTCTAATATGATGGGAATTCTTCAGTGGATTCAAGATAAACTTATTGAAGTTGATATATATATATATATATATATATATATATATATATATATATATATATATATATATATATATATATATATTGGTTGACCCACAGTGGTTTGGGACGAACATGTTATTCAACATCAAGTTAATATGAGGAAGTGATAATAGTAATAGTATCTGTTGCAGTTTTAAAGTAAAAACATCTGAAATGACACTGAACTCAATATGTGTTATAAAGAAAGTGCACCGATGTATGAATATGCAGACTAAATATCTTCTACCTGAACCGGCCAAACCGATAAGACATAACTACAGAAAAAGGAATTTTATGAAGGCTGGAACGTTGATTCAGAGATTAAAACTTTTGACTTACAGTTACAGGTTCGAACTCCGCTCCACCTACTCTCCTACTGGTAACTGGGTAGCATCACTGGCTCTTACAATTAAAGCGCGGCTCCAAGTCACGTACATGAATTTCTAACTATAAATAAGCTCATTACGTGAAAGCTTTTCATTTCTCAATGTTTAATATTCTTATAAATTAAAATTAAATCAAACTAGTGCAAAAATAACTAATAATTAGTTAGATGGAAAAAATAAACAGAAGTAGATTGCTTACAAAGAAGGTCTATCCCATTGTGTACGCTTGTTAACATGATCCATATAATATGTCCGTCCATTTTGATCAACTCGTTCATCCCAACCTGGTGGAAGTGAATTTTCATCAAGTGACGTAGAAAGCATTGGTCCAACAACAGTCTCAGTAACACTTACAGTATCTGATTCTATTGAAGTATTTCTACTAAGTTGTACACGGTTATCAGTATCATCGTTTATAGTGTTAGATAATTCAGCAATACCAGGACTAGATGATTGTGCTGGTAAACTAGGACGATGTGAAGAAGATACAGGTGTTGAGGATAATTGACCTTCACTATTACGTTGTTGTTCAGATGACTATAAACAAAGTTGAGTAAACATTTAATTATGGGTTTTAAATAAAAATGAGTTAATTTATAAACAGTTTAAAAAAGAAGTAGGATATGAAAATGTCATTTTAAAGGGGATGTTTTCCTCTTCAAAACAACAATTTATTATGAAGGAGGCCTTGGTATAAAAAAACGAGGTTTATAATTGGTAAAATGAATGCGGATCGATAGATAAACACAATGATACGATGTAGCCGAGTGATAGCTGGTTACAAGATCGTAATACTGACTCAAACACTCGAATGAATGAATATCAAAGACAAGACTACTGGTCAGAAGAACTCATTGTTCGTATAATGAAGTAATATGCTTAGATACAAATTATTAGCAGAAAAATAACATCATTAGATGACATAGGTGACTGAAGATAAGCTTTGTGGGTCACCAGTTATCCGATGAACTAAAGCCTAACCGTTAGGCTTAATTCTTACTCATTATACCAGCCTTGAAATATAATATTTGCAGTTATTAGATTAGGTAAAAGATTTGACATTACTGACGAAAAATGAGTAAATTCGATAACTATTGTGAACACTAAGAAAAGCATTTCAAATTATGTGATAGAGGAAAACACACTCATTATATTTACAACACAACCACAGGGTTTATCTGATAAATGGCTGTTTAGTACTCAATAGTGAATGGACTTCCTCGCATCAAAATGAGAAAGTATTCTATGATATCAGGAAAATAAGCAATTGAGATCTATCTCACTAGATCGATGGCTAGGCCACTGAAGCACTTGAACTCAGCCATTATTAGGTCACAGTTTTGAACACCCTGCCATTTAAATCTGTTTGAATAGCCAAATAGTATCACTAGTGTTTAGACAACAGTATGGCTTAAGATCGAGGGTATAAACCTTTGTTTGGTAAATGATTTCGATGGAAAATATTTTCTCCAAGATACTTGAAAAAGTCATAAGTTTGATTATGTATAAATCCGAAGTTTTACAATTCCAAGAGGTACAAAGATAACAAGACACAGTTATCTATTACCTCATACTTTTAAATCGTTCTTCAGTTTGAAATGAAAACAAAATTTAAATCAAAAGCTCTAACTAATTAAAATATCAACAAAGATTTTTTTAGGGTTTTTAATTGGTACAATAACTCTTGGCTATATTCATCTTACGTATGTTAGGATGTATTATTTTAGTACAACACGATAAATTAATGACCATTTGCGTGATTTTCTGATATTCGTTCATTAGTGAGCGATTATCTATGAACTACCTAACATTACTGATGAGGTGGCTTAGTGGTTAGTTTTTGACATTCAGCTAGTAAAAGTTCCAACTTTGCTTCACTTCGTTTTCGGCAACTAAATAGTATCATTAGCACTTACACTTAGAATATGGTTCATACCTAAGTACCTGCTGAGTTGATTATTTTTTAGCAGCACACAGCTAGACGCATGGGAACAAATCAAAAATACTTCAAGTTGAATGGTCACATAAAAAATATAATTAAATAGAAAGTATAACTAGGCTACTGGTAAACGATAAGACATGAAGTTACATAAACAACTGGATAGAGAGACGAATTAGTACCACCAAATTTTTCTTTGGCCAAGGTTTATTTCTGTCTTATTGTAGATCAATGACTACTTACACTGTATGAAATTGAAATAAATTTTCACAACTGCATTTCGTTGAACTACTTAATGTCGATCATAAGGCTATCAGACAAAAGAAATTATCTCGACAGTTAGTCGAATTAAATATTCATGGGTCATTGAGTCACAACAAACGTAAGACTTAGTACAGACACAAATCAACACACAATCTCACACCATATCACTACACAGAGGTGAAGTTAAAAAGATGAATAGTGAAGGAGTTCTAATAATAGAAGTACCAACGATAACACAAAAAGTACTAAAAATAGAATAACAGTAGCCTACCTAAACTTTAACTGAATATTAGACAAAATTACTTGGAAAAAAATTAGTAACTAAGACTTAATAATTGCATAAAGACTGATGCACAATTTTATCAACTACATTATTAGTACGTAATAAACTCAAATGTTTGGTACAAAACAGGTGAAATGTGAACCAAATTAAATACTTTATGCCTGAAAATAGCTAACTCTGACTAATACTAACTTTGTTTTTAGTAACAGTCACTTATATGCAACGTAAAACCTGACACGTGCATCTATTTAAATCCATGCACTACATCAACATAGAGAAATAAAATTATCAAGACAAAGGACAGAGCAGTAGAAGTAGTACTAATATCACTAGGCATATACACATTTAATAAAATACATCAACAATCAAACGAAAATAATATCAAAATAAAAAACGGATTTAATTCTATATAAAGTGCAACAAGTGATAAAAACAATACCGCTGAACTCATGAAAAGCTAAAATTACTGTATACCAATAAGTTTGTTTAAATCTATAAATGACTTACCAATTCAACAAGGGGAGGAAGTTGACGAAGACTTGTAATCTGGGGATTTAAATGGCTTGGTAAGTAAGCCAAATACAAGTGGAGATTACCACGAACACGGGATCGAGAACTAAGAACCATGAAAAAAAACAAGATGTATTTTAAGCGGAAGAGAAAAACCAACAATTATTTTAAAATGATAAATTTCTGAAAAAAAGTTGCAGGAAGTTAATGTTCATTGAACTATCCCTTAAAGCCACAAGTGAAGAACTGAACTTTTGATGTTAACAATTAACAATTCCCACTTCAACGATTAAAATTTGTGCACTAGAAAACAACTGATCATCCCTGAGTTTTTAATGTAACCTGGTACTTTTTTACGCCAAAGTAAATATGAACGATGACCTATGGATTCAGAAGTATAAAAGGGAAACTGCAACTAGATTTAAAAAACAATGAACTAATGATAATTAGTCTAAGCCCAACTTTATTTCCAATACCGCATATGACAAGACTGAAAATCTACTGTACAAATTCATCAAATATGGCTATATATATCATAATAACAAGTGATTTCTCAGAACAGTTTAAAATCAGCCAAATAATTAATTGGTACAAAAAAACTCGCTACGAGAAGTAAATAAAATATGGTTTGTCTGTCTAAGTAACGACTTGATACTGATGCAGTTTTAAGTCTATAAATGTTTCTGCTTAATTTTACAGCATAGCAATTGCTAAAATTTATGAATATATGATGAACTTAAAACGAGTCATAATTTCTAGCTACTGCTAAGTAGTGAACGACCTAATGAGCAGTGATTAAACTGATTGGTACTCTTTTCTATGTGGTTTATAATTAGGCTCAGAAACATGGGATAGTACAATGCAGATGAAAGCGATATATGTCAACAAATTATTTTTGAAAAAAAAATATACTTGCTATAATGGTCAGTCCACTAAAATTCTACATATCACTCATCAACTCCTAGGAAACTTGAGATATCGAATCAGTATAAGCAAGCAGATATGACTCTGGAACAATTAGAGATACGAGTGAACTTGCTTCCCTTTAAATATCAGATTAGACTAGGAAATACATTCCAGGTTGACTGAAAATATTACTTGTGGGGAGAGAGCACCATCTACATGACGTTAACACATATATGCAGTTAAAATTACTCCCTGAACGAGATGAAATATATACCGGGTAAATGTTTAAAGATATATCGACATCAAAATAATAAAGATTCGTTTTGTAAAATCCTCATTTAGAAACCAGGACGAAATTTTCCCAGACAACAATACTACGATAAAACACTGTATTATCGACATTTCATTTTCGACCCCCGAATAGGGAAACCACTGCACATCTAAAACATGTGTGTCACGATTAGATGCAAAAAGTTCCCTAAAAATTTCAGGGATCGAAATCTACGTCAATATCATACTTGCGTCAATAGATCATCTAAAAATGACAATACCTTCTAGGGCGCAGTAGAAAGCTCTTTGCCATCAACCGACAATTAGATCCCTCCGTGCCAATCTCCAGATACGGCAGAAATACAGTGACGACACCCAAAAAATCATCCCTCGTCTGTGGACGTAACTAATGAAATGTACTAACTTACAATTCTATTTTCGTCGTAAAGCTCAAAAACCAAACGGTTTTCTGATGGATTAACCTGAAATTTACGAATTTAGTTCTGTTTAAATTACCCTGAAAATAAATTCTTCGTTCCAAATCGGGTTGAGAGATCTCTTAACAGTTTTTGTTGGTACTGGTGAACACAAGGGGAGAGTTGAACGCTGGGTTTTATATATACACAGTTTGCAGTACGGGTCGCTAAAAATCAAAATAAGTCAAGAAAACTAAAGCATACCTGGCTCCGAATATATCCTTTTTCATAAGATCCAACGCCCGAATTACACGGACCCTTAGTAAACGCGTTTCCGTATTACACTGAAAAGTTCAGCTATGTGACAAAAACCTACTAATGACAGTGGCAAACCGTAAACTTCTAGATGCTTTCTCACACCAACTGATTTCGAAGGTATGTTTAGAACCATGAAACATTTAGAGACATAAAATCAAGTGACCACAAGAATCAAAACAGGAGCTCATTTCCTTCACTAGTTCAATATTATAATGGAGAGTTAATTTTGAGATCTAGTACAATGGTCATGGATTTTCGCAAATGTCCGCGTGGACCAATTAATTCTCATTATTCATTTCTTTAGTCTTGCATATGATGTGTGTATATTCACAGTATACCTTGTTTCCATGACCAACCTGTCTTATAATATTTCAACCTAATTGGATAACTTGGTGCATTCGAGCCTGTATCATTTGTGACAATTCGATATAGTCTTTAAACTGGTGTGCATCACGTAACATATTGTTGTTTGAGAGCGTATCATTATTGTTACATATTTTGGCGAAACAGAATGAACGAATGGATCGTCTGGAGCAAATTGATGCATTGCTGCTTCCCACTGCAACAAGAAAGATACTTGTAATGACCATATACATATTTTTCTTAAGCTAATTATTGATTCGTTATGACTATAAGACATTGATTTTTATAAAGCTAGATGAAATTCATAATATACAGATACAGTTGATATGAGAAATGTTCTGATCTTCATTCAGTATTTACCGCAAAACAAACGTTTGTTCATATTGTTCGTCTCTAAGGTCTCCAGGGCTTGCGGCTTGACAAGATTTTATCAACTTGATGAATACATCTGAATAAATACGCTTTAAGTCAACAATCAGAACTAGAACTCGACTTATTGTTGATGATTTTAAAGTTCGCAAAATAGGTGTAGCCTCAAGACGTCACTTGATTATTTTTCGTATTTATAATAAACAGTGATTTCTTTAAGCTTGGCTGAGCACTTATTACAAATTCCGGCTACAATACGTCCAACTGTGTTTATCTTGTTCTAAATGCCCTAAATAACATATTTCGGCAATCATCGGCTAGTAAATCAATTTAAATATGTCCAATCATCGAAATTTTTCATGTGTATGTGTTCGTCCACCTGTTTTTCAAAAGGTCGTATCCGGCTTCCGTATCAGCTTTCGTACCGCGGGTCATCGATGTTGCACATACATGGTTACTATAAGTTGACAACTTCTTGTCATCCTCTTTTATTTATACTTTTATATTAATTGACTACATCTTAGTTCCAACAAAGATTTTTCCTATTTTCACGTGCTGATCTAATAGTGGAAACTAAATCTAGCATTGTAACGTGACCAACAATCTCTATACTAGGTTTACTGACGGTTATTTTATCTAGAATTGTGACGAATTTCATTATTTCTCTACAGTCTTTCCCATATGATCACTTCTACTATTTTGTAACATTTCACTTGGGAATATTTTTCATGCAATAACAACAATAATAATATTCTCAAATAAAAATATGTTACACGAGGCATACCAGACTACAGAAAAGTCTAAAATGTTATAAATGTTCCAGTATTTACTGTGATACGTTGCTCAGTTGACATGTTATAAGACACATTTATCGTGGAAACACGGCAGTACATTTGCGGACACAAAAACATTCATAATGATATGTTCCCGGTATATCAGGTAAACGCCATTTTTACTGAAATAATCAGTAATTTAAAACATGGGATTATAAGGTTATTAAATAAACATAGTCACTGAAAAAATATACCAAAGAATTAGTTAATGTGTTCATGTTTTGATACCGCACTGTGACTTCACAGTTTCTACAACCTGTTCAAAAACGGCATATCGTTCATATCGTAACCTCGGCGAACACACATCTACTTCTAATTTCATCCTTGCGTGTAACGTTAGTGGTGCTGAAATCAACAGAACTAACAACAAAATATGGTCGGTAAAACCTAGATTTTCTCAGTAGGGGAGATTTAATGTATACCTATCAGCAGTTAGGACCAGAACCAACTAATGAAGAAACTTTACATAAACCATAGTATCTAAACATAATGTGTGAAGAATTGTGACGAGGAAAGAGCCCTCACTAAATGCAATAAAGATTGGGGAGCAAAGTGTTTGTTGATTTCGGAAATTTAACGGAAACGTAAGGTATAGAAGTTTTTATATGACTTTACCACCATACCCTTTATCTATTTATTGCTCTCTTCATTGTTGTTATCGAATTACATCCGTTAGGTTTGCGCTCAAATATCTGAAATATCATGTTATAGCACGGCTTGGTAAAATAGCGAACTAAACATAAGATAGAAGACGCGATATAAAGGGGCAGAAAACATGGGAGAACAATCTCATTATAATTGAATAGTCGCCCCATCACCAATCACAAACAGCCGGAAACAAAACAAATGTTCTGTCCCAGAAACATTAGTGATTGAAATAATAATCTCTTTCACCATCAATGTTTGGTAGTTAGTCACTCCACCCTACCTAATATTTTGATACTTGGCTCCTTTAAGATGATAGTTAGACTACAACTGTCTTATCTTCAAGCTCTATGTTCCAAATTCAGTAATTAAACACCAACTCCACATTTCGTACAGGATCATCGGGCGGTTAAAGCTGATACGCAGTTAGCAGAACATTGAAACACCATTGTATAGCAGTAAAGGATAGAGAATGGGTTTCCAAACAAAACAAATGAGTGGAAAAAACTAATAGGTAGAAGTTCTAGGTAATCCGATACGTTTAAGGCGATCAGTAAGGATTTAAAAATACGTGGTAGGATGAAAACATGTGATGAAAATTGAAAACTGTTGTGTGTTATTCATTAAAATTGATATTTTAAGAGGTACATTGGTTATAAAAGTATGGGGGGATAATACTTCTCACATATGAATGCAAATAATATTAGTAAGGTGCTTATCGTCAATATAACAGTTGGCGCGCTTTATAGAGGTTGGGTTGCGACGTGCAACTGATAGTCGGGAGTAAATTCACGTGAATTTGAGAGCTTCTATAAACCGTGACCGTATAACCCTCTGGAATATCCGAGGTATTGTTGATGGTGCGGGAAAAAGTCACCCGTTCCATATGCGTTATCGGCGGCATATCTTAAGAGTGATGAAAAATAGAGTAAGGAAAAGAAAGGAAGAGAAGCGAAGCATACATTGTTCATGCATATTGTAATCTAGTCATTTGTGGTGAAATAGTGAAGGTATGACTACTTAGTCTTATTTTCTATTATTAAGGTACTTTTTAAGCAAGAGAAATCTATTAGATTAAACAGGTGTGAATATGGTATGGATGGACAAAGGACTGCATAAATGGAGGTTGATCGGAAAGAAGCTGAAACTATATGATTGTTTGAAGTTTCAAATTATAATACTCAAGACTGTATCTTGATACACAAATGGCTATCTCCCTTCTAAGTCGAAGCTATTTTAGCTCATTTTTTATTTTATAGGGTCATGAGCACGCTTCGTCTTTAGCAAATTGTTTTGCTTGAAACGCGATTGCTCGGTAGGAAGTGAAACCAAACCAACATCACAAACACGTTTTAGAGAGGTATCTTGTATAATAAACCGCCATCAATATCATTGGTTCGTGACATGCCGCGTGACCTTAGGGAGACGTAAATGAACAAAATGTCGATGGGCTCAGCATTATGGTTGATTGTGTTTGACCTGACCGGATTTTTAATGGTAACCTAGTCTAGAGGCATGCGTAGCTTGTGACAAAGAAAGTTGACCTTAATTTGCTTGATGTTCTGTAATGCAAAAACCTGAGTTCGAAGCAACAATTACTATTTTTTGTTAAGTTTTGACGTACTTCAATTTCCTGTAGTTTTACCATACAGTATTTTGAAAAGGTAAGGTTAAATTTAATTCGTCTTAACCATAAGGGATCTAGTATCCATGCCCTGCATCTATCTTCATATGATAGGTCTTGCATGAGAGGCCCTGAAAACTGCAACTGGACATTATTGGGGAGTCGAACAAATACCTTGTAAAGAGTAATTTGGGATTCCTTTCAAAGGACATTACAACTGATAAGCCCAATAAGTCTATGGACTTTAGAGATTTGAGACGTAGCATGTTCAGTGAATGAATGGCCCTCGGAATATTTCACTATTAAATCGCACAAGCAACTTAATTGTTCGAATTGCAACCTGTATTGAATGTACCAAAATACGAGTATTCAGATTTTTTGATATTAAGAGGGAGGAACCAGACATTACACAAGCTTAAGATTTTATCCAAACCTTTCTGTACTATATGGCTGATGTCCAGAATGAGGCTTGGATGGAGTACATATACCGCATTAACGTCTTCAGCAAATAAAATGATTTCGTTAAGTGTGAAGCAATTGGACAGATCACTAAAATACATAACGATCTGATCCCTGAGGATACCACTGGTAATATCCTGATAGTAAGATAATTGTTTTCACACTTTTTGCTACTTGGGTTCAGTCCTTTAGGGGGGGTGAGACCCACTCGTGCACTTTACCTGATATACCGAATGTCTTTAATTCAGATAGTCATGATGACTGTTGTACTTTATAAAGAGCTTTAACAAGGTCAAAGTATAGAAGCCTAAAGTGCTTTTAGGCAGAAAGGGTTGGTCATAGGTAAGTAAAATATCCGGTCAATCGGTGACAAACGTAAGGACTTAATGTTTACATCCGAGGACCTAAATTGCACTACATTCTTTGAGTTCGTTGGATTATCAGGTTCGCCTTATCATATCTGCATAAATATGACCTCTTAAAAGTTATGTTTGACGATTTTCCTCTTCTTTCATTTGGAACTTCATCGTATCACTACCTTTCTAAACACTTATCCAGCCGTCAAGCCTTACTACAATAACAATTAAATTTAAATTTAGTTCAAATTATGTATAAAACTGTTTAATCTTATTTTCCTTTATACCTTGTTAATAAAACATTTATACACTTTTCGACGTTGTAGCGACTAGAGTTCGATTGTCGAAGTTGGTTAAAAACACCTTGGTACCACCAAAACATTATATCTTAAGTATTTTCTAATTCCTTAGCTTGTGTAGTAACCATATTTCCAATTATTCTATGCTGAGTGTCAAAAAGTCTATTTGTTTGTAAAAGGGAAAA